CTACCACTAAATTAAAAAAAAAAAAAGAAACGAAACCACATTGAATGAAAGAACAGACAAAAAACCCCAACCATTATGGGGCAGTCTCCCCTTACCAAACCAATTCCAAGAGCTGAGGTGTCACACCTCACGACATGGTGATAAGAGCTGAATGAACAAGAGATTGTGGCAATGAAAGTTTGACTGCAAGAAGAAAAGAGCCTTGGGTGTGGGACAGTCGGGGGAAGGAAGGGAATGACAAAATGGGAAAAATAATAAAGGTCATTTTGGAAGCCCAAGAGGAAGTGGTTCTGGGAAACCTGAAGACATAGGAGAGTCAGAAAGCCAAGGGGATCCAGCTTATCCTGATGAGGCAGGATCCTGGCAATGAAGGCAGGCTCAGGCATGTCAAGGGCCCAGGAGGCAAGTGGAAAATTGGAAGGGGGACCCCAGGCAACGAAGGGCATGGGAAGGGGTACAGAAGGCCATCAAGAGGGTGGGTGACTCCCAGGTCCCGCACATTAGAAGTTGGGCTTGTGCTTCTTGAGCTCCACCATGAGGTGGTGGATGTTGATGAGCTCAGCCCGGGCAGGGAGGGCTCGGAGCTGGGGCTGAGACAGCACCCGGTGGAAACGATGATAGAGCTGTATCAGCTGGGTCAGCGCTCCCTGGTCAGAGAAAGTCACAGAGGGATGAGACTGTGGGGTGGTGCTAAGGGTGATGATCAGGAATCAGGTTAGGGCTCATCTAGAACTCTGGGCACAGCTGGTAGTTGAAGATCAAGGGTCACTTGTATGATTCTGAGCCCAGAGAAAAGGGGGAAAAATGAGTGATGGGGTGGGGTGGGAGTGGGGACGGGGAGGTACAGATAACCTGGATGATACTGGTTCCATTTCTGAAGTTGGTGAAACTCCGCATTACATCCTGACTTAGAGACTCCACCGATGATTTCCAGGAACTACCAAAGCCACGGATCAGCTGAGTAACCCGGGCTGACAACAGGAAGAAAGAGATTATGGCTAAGTGATATTTGATCCCTCCAAGTCCTCCCCAAGGCACAGGCGTACTCATCAGGCATCCCCTCTTTTCTAGTGTTCTCCCCACCTACTCTTTCCTGCTCTACACCCTCCCATGTAATCTGCATCCTCAAATTTTTCTTTTCTGCTCACCTTTCCACTGACCCCACCACTACCACACCACCCTCCTACCTTCTTCCCCTCGAAGTCGTTCAGCTTGTCCACGCTCAATCAAAGCCTCAGCTTCCTTCACAAATGCCACCAAACCCCCAAAAGGGGGAGACAGCAACTCTTCAATGAATTCCTGTAAAAACACACACACATACAGAGTTGAGTTTTCTGGTGTCAGCGGACTTTCCCAATTCTGTCATCATTAACAACTAGGTCCTTACAACATTCCCATCATGGAACAGCTAAATGCTGGAAAGGTGATATACTTTAAGACACTGCTAGTCTCACAAGAGGTTGGGGAAATCTCCAAAGATTACCCTCCTCATAAAAAATTTTCTTAATTTCATTAAAAAAAAATTGGCCTGGGAGCAGAGGGCTGGAACCAGAGAAGGAGACAACTGGGAGACACAGGGCTATCAGAAGGTAGATGGCCATGCAATTCTGCTATCGGGAAGCTGAGTCTGATGCCAGCCTCGAGCTGGGATGCTAAGACTGAGTCTCTCATGAGAACCTCAAAGAGGTGCCAGTGCGGACCTAGGTGGATGGCATCTTCCAGCTATTATCAAAGGCCACTGGTTTAAGCACATCTTCATGGGATCAGAGAGTCTAGAGAATTCCACTTCAGAAGGCAGAGCTGACATTCTCTCCAGTCACCTAACTGTGCGGGCGAGGACAACAGCTTCCTTTCTCATCTAATTACATGTTTATTTACTAAAAAGAGAGAACAGAATGAAAGTTTAACCTACAACTAATCAGAGCACAGAAGCGAAGAAAGAATGAAGGAAAAGCAATATTTAAAAAGATGCTGGCTGTGAATTTCCCCCAAATTAATGAAAAAACTAAATTCAAAGACCCAGGAAACCAACAAGGTATCAACTTAAAGAAATAAAGAGAAACCCACATCTAGACATATTGCAGTAAAACTTTAGAATACCAAAGAAAACAGAGGAGAACTTAAAGAGCAGTCAGAGAGAAGAGACTGCTTCAAAGGAACAAAAATTAGAACAACAGTAGACTTTTTCACTGCAACAATTTAAGCTAACAGTGGAAAATCTTCTAAATGTTGAGAGAAAATAACTGCTTAGAATTTGACAGTAAGCCAGCAAAACTATTCTTTCCTAACAAAGGTGAAATACATTTACGTAAAAACAAAAACAAGGTTTACTACCAACAAACTTTCATAAAGGAATTTCTAAAAGAGCTATTTTAGGAAGAAGGAAAATGATCCCCGAAAGATAATCTGAGTTCTAAAAAGGAATGGTGGGCAAATAAACAGGGAAACATGCAGGGAAGGCCAAATGGAAGGTATCACTACAAGATAGCAACAATTAAAAGGAAGACAGAAATAAAATACTGGCCAATAATTAGCATGGAAGACAGAAGGGGGAGGGGCGATTGGCGCATTAAAACATTTTAAATGCTTTAAAATCTACATATTGTTTGAGATAAGGGTTAAATATTAAGTTTAGATGTTAAGCTAAATATGCAAGGTGAAATTTAAAGGCCAAGTTCTAAAAGAATGGAATACAAAATCTAAATTAGGAGGAAAAAAATAAATAGTAAGAAAAACAAAGGCGAGAAGCACAAAAGACACAAGACAAAAAAGAAACTAAAGATGGTAGGAAAAAGTCCCAATGTAACATTAATCATAATAAACATAAATGAATTTAAAAAATAAATCAAAGGGCAGAGATAATCCAATTGGATTTTTTCAAAAATTCCAGCTATATGCCATTTTTAAAAGACTTAAAAAGTGAAAACATAGAAAGGCTGAAAGGAAAAAAAAAGAAACAAACAGGCAAATATTACCAAAATAAAACTGGCAGAGCTGTTAATATCAGATATAATAGGTTTCAAGACAAAATTATTAGGGCTAAGATGTGTCATATAGTGACAAATTCTTCAAGTCACTAGCAAGATCTAATAATTCTAAACTTTTAAGAATTTAGATAAAATAAGCTGAAACCGTATAAAGCAAAATCTGATAAAACTGCTGTGAATAATGATAAATTTATGAATATCAAAACATCTCTCTCAACTATTGATAGTAAACAAAAAATTAGTAAATATTTTAGATAATGTGATCGATACAATTAAAGAGCCTGACTTCCACACCTGAAAATTTAAAAAAAACCCATGTTCTCAAACACACATGGAACATTTACAAAAGCTGATCATGTACTAGGCCACAAGCAAATCTAAACAAATTTCAAACATTTTTCAAATTTCAAATGTTCAGTACCAAAAAACCACATTCTCCATTCACAATGCAATTAAGTTAGACATTAATAACAAAAAAGAGAAGTAAGAAAACTGCTTTTGGAAATTTTAAAACACTCAAAATCTCACAGATTGAAGAAGATACAATTAAAATATAAAAATTCTTAGAACTGAATGATAATAAAAATGTTACATATTCAAACTTATAGAATTCAATAAAAGCAGTATTTAGAGGGAATTTCATAGTTTTGAAACTTCCTGAATGCTTCTGCTGGCAAGTTCTAGGAAATCTTCAAGAAGAGATTGTTTCAATCTTAAAATCTTTCAGAAGAAGGAAAACTTCCTTTTCACCTCCTTCTATAAATCCAGTATGACTTTGGTACCCAAACCACATGAGGACAGTAGAAGAAAAGAAAATCACAGACCAATCTCACCTATGTACAGAAAAGCAAAATCCTAAACAAATTAGACCAAATCCAGAATGGTTTAACACTGTAAAATCTATAAATGTTATATACCACATAATAGATTTTTAAATGGACTATGATTACCTCACCAATTACAGAAAAAGCATACATTCTTGATTAAAAATTCAATACTCACTTATATTTTTAAAAATATTAATTTTAAAAAGAAAATTATAATTTTAAAAAATAATAACTCTTGGCATCCTAAGGAGTGAAAGGAATTTTCTTCACCTGATAAAAGAGATCTGTAAAAAACCTACAACAACATTACTCTTAAGAGGAAATGATAGAAGAATTCCTTTTAAAACTAGGAAGAGAAAAGGGTTCTTACTATCACCACTTCTATTCAACTATTCAGCTTTGTACTGGAGGTACTGTTCAGTGCAGTAATAATAAATTAAAGACATAAGGGTCAGAAAGGAAGAACTGCAATTGTCACAATTTGTAAATGATGAATGCCTACATAGAAGCACACAGAAACATTATTAGAAATAGCTTAGGAAGGTGGCTGGCTACATAATCAATATACAAAAATCAACAGCATTTCTGTATACCAGTTCAAACAAGTAAATTTCTTTTAATATTTAAGGAACAACAATTTATTTAAAGGACAGATTCTAAAAGAATAGAGTAGAAAGTCCAAACAATTAGAAAAAAATGTAGTCATTATTCCCAGTAATTCCTAGTATTATTCCTAGTAATTATTCCTCAATAAAGGTAGATTTATTCCAAGTAGAATAACCACAATAATAACTCCTAGCACATGAAGGATTAAAAGGAATTTTCCAAACCTGATAAAGGGCATCTACCAAAAAACCCTGTAGCCACATTACTGTTAATGGTAAAATGATTAAAGTATTTCTTTTAAACTCAGCAACAGGATAAGGGTTCTCACTGTTACCCTTTATTGCACTATTCAACTCTGTCACGGAGGTCCTGGCCAGAACAGAAAGGGATTAAAGACATAAGAAATCAAAGGCAAAGGATAGGGAAGGATTTACTTATTCCTCGTAGGACTAAATCTACATAGTACATCTAGCCAGGAACAACTCTAACAAAAGATTTGCAATGTCTCTGCACTGAAAAGTATAAAAGGTTCTTAAAAGACATTACAGAATAACTTAAAAAATGGAGAGAAATAT